GCTCATATACCTGTGTGAATGAAGCGCCAATTTCTACTTTAAGGCACGACCAGGGCATGTGTTGGGGGATGGGGGACACTGATCCAGGAAAGGGTGCATGGCTTGGGTTTCAGAGGTTCAGCTGTGTGTACTTTGACCAATAGAGGGTGGCTGGCAGGAATTGGGTGATGGGCTGGGACACAGCCACCCCTGCCAGCCCTGGATAAGTGCCCTCCCAAACACCCCTCAGAGCTCCAAGGCCTGACTCCTGGTCACAAGTATCCCTCCTTTGCCCCTAGGGGATGACAGTGCGGCCTCTTGGTGAGGCAAGGCATAGGGCAGGGGTGAGTTTGATGCATTCATCTGTTCTGAGGATCCTAGGGCTGGTGTCCCCAACCCCACTCCCTCAGAAAGGCCCCTGCCCACCTCTGCCCACATGGATGGAAGCCCAGAGAGTAGGTGAGGTGAGCAGGGACAGGGGCCAGGTGGAGGGGCAGGCCTGGGATAAGGCAGCCAAGAGGGAGTTGGGAAGCCGGGCAACAAGCCCTTGGCTCCGTGGATCATCTGGCAAATAGATGTCTTGCCTTCCCTTTGCCTCCCTGACCCTGCTGGAGGGGCTGTGGTGGGGAAGGTGAGCTCTGCACCCCCTGGGCTCATCTGAGTGTGCTCATCCATTCCTGACTACTGAAAGAGGACAGGGAGTGGGGGAATCTCACTTCTGGAGGGCTCCTCAATCTATGGAATTTTGGTATATTAGTGCCACCATCGACATCGGTGGCTGTTTAATCCAACTCCTCTGGTTCCAAATGGGGAAACTGTCAGGTCAAAAAGCTAATGTCGATCAGGAATGGAAACTCTGCGTATCTAACTCCCAAACCCACAAGGCTGTGGTCACATGTCCTTTAGCTCCACGTCCGTGGATCACATCTGCTGGTGGGGGGAGGCTGTGACAGGGGCTCAGAAGCTGCCCTGGGGAGTTACAGGGTCCAGCCCTGCTGGGAATCAGCCCAGAGGAGCCCAGGCATGAACATAACCTTGTGAGGCCTCTGCCTTGGATGCCCAGCTCCCCATCAGCAGCAAGAAGCCCCTCCACGTCACTGTAGTCCAAGGGCTCCCCTCCCTGCATGTCTGACCTCTGGAGAGGAAGGAGGAGAGAGCAGCAGTGAGGCCTCTGGGTTGATGAGCATGCTTCCCCCCAGAGAGCAGTGACCTAATCCCTCCTCCAGATCCCAGAATTCGCCTTAGAAGGGAGGTGAGCCTAAGGAGCATCCCCTAAGACCATACTTGGGGAGAAGCACCAACACAAGGAAGAGCTGACCTCTGTGAGCACGTGGCATGGGGCGAGCTCTGAGCTAAACGTGGGCCCACCCAACCTGAGAACAAATCCTCTCAGGTTTTGTTCTGAGCATCCCACCTGCCACCGATCCTGACAGTATCTCCCAAGGCCCACTCCCGTGTCTCCATCTGCTCACCATAGAGTCTCAGTGGTCCTCAGTTTATCACAGAAGCATGGCAAAGCCTCCTATCCATGAGACAGTCAGTCCAAGCCACCCCACACACACAGCCACAAGGAAGGCTTCAGGACCCAAATCTCATCCTATCAACCCTGCCAAGACCCCTGAGGGCCCCTTTGACCTCAACAGGGCTGCACTGTCTGGCCCCGCAGTCCATCTCACACCTTTCTCTGTACCTGCAGCCACACCGCCTCATCTCTGGCTCTCAGACCAACCAGATTTTATCCGCCCACTGCGTGAAATGTGCACACTCTCCTCTCGCCTTGTCAACCCATCTTCTTCCTTCAGATCTCAGCTCCAAAGCCTCCCCTTGCACCTCTGTGTCAGTTCTATCCGTCATATATTCCGACACCCTCTGCTGTACTTCCCCTTCAGGGCAGGCGTCTTCCCCAGACTGTGAGCTCTGGGAGACCAAGTGTGCAGCCTTCTTCCTCTGCCTGCTTCATCCCCAGCATCTGTACAGCACCTGGCCATCGCTGACGCTCAGTGGTGATGCGGTGAATGGATAAATGAATGACCCAGCTCTATGAGGTAAGTTCTGCTGCAAAGATATGGAGTATCTGAGTTAAATAGCCAGCTCAAGGTCCTGCGGCTGGCCGGTGGCACAGGCAGGGTCCAGGGCAAGTCAGACTGCAGAGTCTGTGCTCTTCACTACTTCTTGTCCTTCATCCAGAATGCCGGCCGCAGTGTCTGTCTGTCTGCTCTCCCCAGCAGGCCCTCTGAGGACGGATCAACTGGCCACCAAGTCCCGGGGTTCTGGGGCTCGCCTCCCCGGAGCTGCTCCAGAACCATGGAGAGTCTGAGTGAGCTACAGAACCCACTGCTGCCTCGGAGCCCCACACATCTCCATGGCCCCTACCCCTACCCCGAGGCTTCTCCTGCCTGGACCTGCCGGGAGAAGATCTATTCCTACCTCCTGGGTGGTGCTGACCCTGCGCATGCCCACCAGCTCCTGGACCCCGGGTCCCTGCAGCTGGCCGTGGAGGCCTGGTACAGGCCCAGCTGCCTCCTGGGGAGGGACAAGGTCACAGAGCCCAGGGCAGGCAGCTGTGAGACCAGCTTCACAGAGGGCAGGGAGCCCCTGGCTGGGCCTACGGAGCGGTCCACGGAACCTGGCCAAGTGGAAGAGGACGTCACCATCCAGACTGTGTCCTACGGGGTTCAAGAGGAACTCCAAGGCCAAGAGGGTGACCCGGAGGAAGAAGAGGTAAGCACGTGCGTGTAAATGCAGATTCTCAGGCTCACCTCTGGGTACTGAGATTTTGCAGGCCTGGCTTGGGCCCCAGGAATCTGTATTTTACTAAAGAAAAGGCCCTCTGACACAGATGCTAGCTACACTTTGAGAAACACTAGTTAAAGCTGACAGTTTAATTTTTTTTTTTTTTACTACTTATTGCATTAAGGTATCTTTCTATTGAAGCGCATGTACAATATTATGTAAGTTTCAGGTGTACAACATAGTGATTCACAATTTTTAAAAGTTATGACCATTTGACTTTTTTTTTTTTGATGTGAACCATTTTCAAAGTCTTTATTGAATTTTTTAGAATATTGTTTCTGTTTTATGTTTTGGTTTTCCGGCCACAAGGCATATGGGATCCTAGCTCCCTGGCCAGGGATTAAACCTGCACCCCTTGCATTGGAAGGTGAAGTCTTAACCACTGGACTGCCAGGGAAGTCCCCTATTTGACTTTTTAATAGCATTTTTTGTTCTTTTTTTTTTTTTTTTCCCAGTTCAATCGAGATATAATTGTTATGTAACATTAAGGTATACAACGCCATGATTTGATTCATGTATGTATCACAAAATGTTTACCACAATAAGGTTAGTTAACACACCATTTACCTCACCTAATTGCCATTTTGCTGTTGCTATAAGGAGAACATTTAAGATCTACTCTCATAGAAACTTTCAAGTATATAATACATTATTATTAACCACAGTCACCACGCTGTAGCAGATCCCCAGAACTTATTCCCCTTATAACTGAAAGTTTTTACTCTTTAACCAACTTCTCCTCATTGTTCCTACTCCCTAGCCCCCAGCAACCACCGACCTACTCACTGTTTCTCTGAATTCAGCTTTCTTGGATCCTACATATAAGTGAGATCAAATGGTATTTGTCTTGGGCTTCTTTCACTTAGCATAATGTATAAGACTCATGTTGGCCCAAATGGCAGGATTTTCTTCTTTTTATGGCTGAATGATAGTCCCTTATACATATAGATAAACATTGTCTTTGTCCACTCATCCCTCCATCTATGGACTTCTGGTCTTTGAGGAAAGTTCACCTGGTTCTTGTCTTCTTAATTATATAAGCAATTTAAAGTCAATGCAAAAAATTATTCAAAGATAGCAATTATTTTAGTGAATGATCTTCCAGTCTTTTTACTTACATTTTTTTCTACCTCCCCCGCCCCAAAAGAGTTCTTGCTATACGTATTTCTGTAACTGAATTTTCCTCTCTAAGCAACCCATTGGCTCCACATAATCTAATATTTTCTACCAAGGTGAATTTTAAGGGTTATATGGTATCCCATTATAAATTCTTCCACCACTTATTAACCCAATCTCCTGGTCACTGGGCATTGAGACTGTTCCTGATCTTTCACAGTTACTATCCTTTAATGGACATTCTAGTACATGTATACTTGTTCATGTATTCTTGCATGTGTATACTTGTAGTCTTTCCTACTGATAAATCCCCAAGGGTGGAATCATTGAACTATTGTCAAGGTTTTGGTAGAGAGCCCGGAGCCCAACCCACACTCCCACTCACAACAGATGAGTCTGCTCGCTGCCCCACGCCACTGCCGATCGGTGCCCTGGGCCAGGTCACAAGAGCGCACTCATGTTTTGCAGAGCGACGCCACATCAACGGAGAGTGAAAGTGAAGACAACTTCCTTACGCTGCCTCCCAGGGACCACCTGGGTCTCACCATCTTCTCCATGCTCTGCTGCTTCTGGCCCCTGGGCATCGCCGCCTTCTACTTCTCCCAGGGGGTAAGAGGCTTCATGGGGGCCCAGGGCTTCTGCTCTGGCCACCCTCCCTCCCCGGGGCACCTGGGGTCAAGGCCTGGGGGGCTGGGGCTATTTTGCTGGGCATGGGGATGTTCCTTTTCACCGGCACCTCTCTCTCCCTAGACCAGCAAGGCCATCTCCAAGGGGGACTTCCGCCTGGCCAACACCACCTCCCGCCGGGCCCTCTTCCTGGCCACACTGTCCATCGCCGTGGGGGCTGGTCTCTATGTGGCCGTGGTGGTGGCCCTGGCAGCTTACATGTCCCAGAATGGCCACGGCTAGTGGCCAAGAAGGTCTGGCATCCTGACTCCCCTACTCTGCCTGAGGGGGCAGAGAGGGGGTGCTGGGGGTAGCAGACTCTCTGGGGAGACAGCTCATGGGGGTGGCTTGTCAGGAGGATGCCTCCCAGGCTGCAGCCTGTGGGGCACGACCTTCACTTCCTCCTGCCCATTGCCACCAGCCTAGAGCAGGCCAGGGGGCATCACTCAGTCCAGGAGAGGATCGGGCTGCCCACCCAGCCATCCAGGCAGAGTTGCCTCTGGCTGGGAGCTCTCCCCATTCTGCTCATTCCCCAAAGGGTCTCCTGCCCTGGGCAACACACTACCCACATCTGCTAACCTCTCCACAGAGAAGAGCAGATTACAGGGAGAGAAAGGGATGCCTGGGGGGCAGAGGAGCAGACCCAGTCCTTCCAGCACACAGGAGCCTCCACCTGGGGTCTCCCTGAACTTCCCAACTCCACTGTCTGGCCTGTGATGCCCAGACATCAGCCAGCCAAGATGGAAATACACACAAAGGGACCCCCTTGGTCTTTCTGGTTCTAGAGGGTGCTTACCTCTTCTGTGGGCATGTAAGACAGAGTAGATTCTAGGTGGAGAAGCGGTGCCTGGGGCGGGTAAACTGTACTGGGGGCAGGTTCTTGGAGCATCTTTATGCAGGAGTGAAAGGCAGATGAGATGACAGAGAGCCTGAAGGGCCCTGGAATATCGTTGCTCCTGTTCTCTGCCCCCATCCTCCTTTTCTGGATTCCTCCGGGGGCTCTGAGCTGGCACCATGCCAGGCAGACAGAGAGAGTGCCATCAGTCCAGCAGCCACTGAGTGCAGAATACTGGATCCAGCCAAGGGGGAAGGTAGCGAGGAGACCCTGCACAGTGAGTGTAGATGAAGGGAGGGACACAGGGCTGGCATGGCAGCTGAGAAGCCCAGGAGGGCCTCCTAGAGGAGGTGAGCAAGGTCTAGATGGATATAGAAAATGTATTGAAAGGATACTAAGGGATGACCCTTAGTATTTGTGGGCAGGGATGTAGCAGGGGCCTCCCATGGGAGTTTTGGAGCTGTTTGGATTACACCTAAAACATACAGCTGGAGCCAAACTGAAGGCTCCACCAACTCAAAGAAGAGGAAAGTCAGACCTGTGTCTCAAATGCCAGTGATGTTTTTCCACCTCTGAATGCTGGAGGTCAGTGATGGACCCCTGGTCAGCCTTGGAGTTTCTTCACCGGCACCTCTTCTCAGAGCTGCTCTTAACATTCTTAGCCAATAGGGAAATATCAGAATTCTAGAAATACCTAGACAGGCAGGAGGAGCACATTTGGGAGGGCGGGCCTGTCAGCGTTCAAGCTATGGCTCTCATTGTGCATGATCAGTGGACCTGGTCATTCTGGGGCCCCATCCAGAGCTTGGGGCTGTGAACCCAATGTGTCCACCATCCTCCGTGAGCCCAGACATTACCCAACCCTCCACTCACTGCATCCCCTGAAGTCTCACAGGCCCAGGATCAGCAGTTTTAATGCTCCATTCCTGTATATACTTATCCTTGTAATAAACATTTCTGTAACACCTGGTGCCCTCTGGGCCTCTTGCTGTCCCCACCTACCTCCACCTTTGTCTGCGTCCGATCCTTCCCCAAGACTGACCTCCATCCCAGTCTACTGCTCCTGGCCCCTTGCAGCATGTTCTCTAGAGGACCTGCCCACATCCGGGCCTTAGGAGAAAGGGTAGGCGCTCTGGCTTGGAGGACTACTCTGCTGGAAGTAGCCTGGATGCAGGGTGATGGTGTGGCATGCATTTGACTCTGCAAGACAAGGTGAGGTCCAGGCTGAAGAAAAATCCATTCTAGACTCGAGAGCCTTGGAGGTCAGGAGGAAGAGACATGGGCCAGGGTGACTAAAGCTCCCCTGAGCTGCCTGGAGCCATCAGGGGTGGACACAGGTATGGGGTCACCAAGAACCCCACTCCCCTGATGCCCTCTCTAGAGTCCCTCATACCTCCCAATGGGGGCTGATCAAGCGTGGTGTGGGGAGGAAACCATCTCTGTCTGCCTCAAGCCCCAACCTCAGCACCAAATCCCCAGTATCCTCTCTGTTCCAGGCCCCCAGGAACCTGCCTGGGCTGGCAGAGGGACCAGCCTGGCCTCTAGGTCACTGCACGGAAGGCACTGGCATGCCCACACTCACACATGACTACTTGGAAGACATAGCTCCGCGCACGCACACACACACACATACACATGCCGCACAGGCTGGGTACCCCTGAGACAGAGATCACTGCATGATATTCATTAGAAGATACTCTTGGGAGAACATTCAAGGAGAGGAGCAGAAGGAGGCAGATCTGAACTATGGGGAGGTCAGGCTGCAGTGCTGGCCAAACGACTGTCTGGTCCAACCCGAGATGGGGCCTGGAGCCAAGGTGCCCTTCAGAGTTGACTCAAGGTGGGACGAAGGGCCAGGCCTCCACTGCAATGGATGGGAGCCACCCAGAAAAGGGCTGTGACCCTTGGGCAAAGTGGCTCTCTTCAGCCGAGGCTGCTCCCAGGGTGGGGGATGACTTGAAGGCTGTTTGCTGGAGGATGAAGCCCGTCATTCCCTCGGGGCCCTGAGCAGCGCGTCACTGCACCCAGCACAGCCGCCACGCAGCAGCAGACCTACATCCTGCGGCCTTTACCTCCCCACACCGAAGGCTGCTTCCTGGGAACTCTGTGCCACTGGGCCCACAGGCAGGATAAGCTGAAGGTGCTTCAACCACTGATAGATGGAAGCTGGTGGACAAATACCCCCAGGTTTTGCGGCGTCTCGATGGAAGGACACCAGCCATGTTCCACCTGCTCTGAGGATTCCCCAGAAGGATGGAGCTTCAGCTACCGGCAGTGGCAATTTAACCAAAAGCACGTCCCTCACTGGTTGCCTTCCTCTCCCCATCTTCTTCCTCATTTTCCTGCTTCCTGGGATCATCTCCCAATGAACTACCCACAATCAAACCCTTGCCTCAGAGGAACCCTGGGGAACGCAAACCAAGATACAGACACGCACACACACACACACACACACACGCGCGTACATATACACACAGCATGTGCCTGCCCGCACCTCCGTACACTTGGAAGTGCGTACACTCCAATACACACTTCCATCCATGCCCGTGTGCACACGGGCACAGCCCACACAAGCACAGATACTGCCTGCACACACTCGCATATGCACACACACACAGCACATCCCCATGCTGGGGTGACGCAGGAAACGTGGTGGCCCAACCCAGCCCCACCTGCGCTGGGGTCTCCTCATCCCCAGCGGGCTAGTGGGCAGCATGCACTCCAGTCCAGGTCCTGCAGCCCCTGCCTCCTGCCCAGCCCCGCAGGACGCTGCTCCATTCCTGGAGACAAAAGAGAAGCAGCCCAACGATTTCCTGTGTTCAGCCCAGGTCTTGCTCTCCATGGTCCTCATCCACCCCCTACCCTCAGCAGAAAACTCGGACTCTGCAGAGAAAATGCAGTCAGCAGTAACAGAGCCCCTTGGGGCTTCTCTGACCAGATCCCTCGGAAGGGCCCATCCTGTGGAGCCCGGGGCCTGTGCTGATCAGTCCCTGCCACTTCAGCAGGGCCCCTTCCCCTGGCAAGCCAGGGCCTGCCTCTGGGCATGCCTGGGGCACATCAGGCCTCTTGCTTCCAGCTCTGCCTGAGTCTCAGTGCCTGAGGCTCTGGGGAAGCAGGGGGCCAGCAGTTACCCCCCCATTCCTGGCTGGTTCCTCGGGCTGGCAGAGGAGCTGGGGGCAGGGAGGGTCCCCTGGGCATAGGTGCCCGTGATGAGCCGCAGCACCGGCACATCTGTGCAAATATCACCAATTATTTTCCTCACTATAAACACCCAGCAGGAAGGCAGGGAAGCAACCAACCCAAACTGTTTAAAATAGAAACCGAAATGGCTGCGCAGGGAAGTCGGGGCAGTGGGCGGAGTGGGGACCTGTACCGGGAACTGGGGTCTCCCCTCCAGCTGCCCCTGTGGTGCACCTGCTCCCCTCCCCGCCTGCAACCCCATCTCACCCTTCTCCTCCACTGGCCAAGTGGGAAGGAGATGGGAAGGGTCATCCCTGGGGGTAGGAGGGTGGGACAGGCCCTCTGCAGGGGAGGGAAGATGGCTGAGGGACAGACACAAGGGAAGCAGAAGCCAGTGGTGGGGCAGCTGGGCTACAGACTGGAGAGGAGTGAGGGAGGGAGCCTCCCTTCGGTGCTCCCCAGGGTGGAGGGGAGGGGTTCCCTCGGATAGCAGGCTGGGGACCTTGGGACGCTGGGCCAAGTGGGACCAGTGACCTGCTGCCCACTCTGAATGAAAGGACTTTTCTTGATGGTGGAAAGGGCTAGAAACCAGCTCCCCGGGGGCCTCAGCTGACTTCTCTGTCCCTCCCTCCCCGCAAACAGAGCTGATAGACAGCAGGTCGCTGGTACAGTCACACAGGTCATCAGAATGCTGAAACACTTCCTAACCAGTTGATAAACAGGCCCTGCCCCAAGTCCCATGCCCCCCCCCCCAACCTGTCCCAATATTTCCCTTTCCAGCCTTCCTGGTTCTTCCCCTAGGCCCCCCAGCTGCCCCCTAGAAACTAAAGGGTTAACAATGGGCACAGTAGCCCCCACTCTCCCCAAGTGCTCAGGCAGCCAGAGCTGCCCTGACTGTTAAACATCTCAGATGTCACCCCTGCCCCACCAAGGCATCAACTCTGTGCCCACGGCCTCTCTCCTCCGCTCAGGATGCTCCGGGGCAGCGGGCTCTCGGCAAACCCGCTGCTCCTCGGTCTGCATCCCGACTGCTTCCCAGAGATGGTCCCAGCACGTGTCCGGGGCCCAGCCAGTCCCAAGCCCCACCCAGAGGACAGGAACAGGGTGCGCTAAAGCAGGGGTCCGTGGCCACGAGGCAAGGATGTGAATCCTCCGCGCTGCAGTGAGAAGCAGCCCGAGAGAGGATCTGATCACAGTCCCTGATGCTGCGCAAGAGACAACCAGGGCCCAGAGAGGGAGGTGAGCTGCCCAGTGTCACGCAGCAATGGATGAGCCAAACCCAGGCCTCTTCTCCCAGGCTCTGGCATTGTTGAACTAGGCGGGTGATGTCTCTGCTGCCTGCCTGCCATGGCGACACTGAAAACCCAGCGAAGACTGCTGCCTCCACTGTGAATATTAACAAACTGCTTCCCTCAGCCTTCTGTCCAGGGTCTCGCCCGCCGGCTTCAAAGGCTGTCCCGGCCAGGCCCTCCCTGGGGCCGACACCTCGGCCCTTCTGTTTTGGTGGCATGGCAGGGCGGGGCGGGAGGGTGAGAGCTTGGTCTCCCCTTGCCTGCCCCCAAGCTCACAGCAGCCCCCCTACCCCCCAACCACCATGCTGTCACATCCTTTCTGCAATAGTGGGGAGGCCCTCCTCTGAGATGCGGGGCAGGGGATACCCACCGAGACACTCAGATGGGCTGAACAAAAATAAAAGGAAGTCCTGAGGCCCATCTGCATTTCCGAATACTTCCAACCCACATGCCTTGAGCTACTCTAACCTCACTCCCTCTAAAGAGCTGGGCAGACTTCAAAGCTGCTTCTAGCTCCATGAGGGAATGACAGAGATGGACATTCCCAGAGGGCCGGGTGCCCCCAGAGGTGGCCTGGAGCGGGGACAGAGGGGATGGCAGGCACATTTGCAGCAGTGGGCAGAGCCAGGGGCGAGACGGCAGAGACAGGCCACACTGACAGAGCACCTTCAGTGCCCAAAGGGCCGCCACTCGGGTTCCCTCTACCACT